ATATAGAATCTTAGTCCCTTTTATTTCCCTTCCTCCCCTTTCCCTCCTCTCTCCCTCCATCCCTACATGAAAGATAAAGCACAGTGAGGCTTTGGCACAGGCCTTGAGGACAGAGTGATGGAAGGGAAACCTGAGTGGGTGGAGAGGTTTGAGGAGGTGAAGGAAGAGAAGGTGCATCTAGGGCACAGACATGGGGTCAGACCGTGAGGTACAACCTGGGAGAGTTAGCAACGCCAAGAATCAACACTGGCCATTCCTAGTCATGCCCAACCAGACAGGCTTTAAGCTGTCCCAGTGTACTCTCCCTCCCCATCAGTAACACATCTTCTGTATTGAAGCTGTGTCTTGGTTATTTTCCTCTCATTGCTGAGACAAAATACTTGATGTCCAAAATTAAGGAAGGAAAGGTTTATTTAGCTCATAGTTTGTGGAGGTTTCAGTCCATACTTGGCTGGCTCCAAGGCAGGGTGGCACATGGCAGAAGGCAACAGTTCATGGTGGTGGGAGACAGCAAAAGCAACAACAGCAAAAGGGAGGAGCTGAGGCCGGCAGCCTCTTTCCCTCCCTTACATTGTAATGCAAACTACCCACCCCAAGGTAGGCAGAGCATTCACACCCATAATTCCAATGCTGGACCATGAACCAATCATAAACTCTAAAAGCCAGCCTCATGACTGTATGTGTCTCTGTAGAGACACCCAGTCACAAACCATAACACATATTCTCCCATTATGATAAGAAAATTCCCAGAGTGGTGAGTTTGATATAATATAATGGTGTGATGACAGTAGCTACTGCCTTAGTCCATTTGGATAGAAATATCATAACAAAATAACATAGATTAAGTGACTAAAAAAGTTTTACTTCTCACATCTCTGGAGACCGAGAAGTCCAAGGTCAAAGCATTAGCCGATTACGCTGACTTCTCTTTCTAGCCTTATATGGTGGAGGGGGCAAGCGGTCTCCCACGATGAAAGACCTAATCCATGGTGATTAGACCCCATAATCTAATCACTTCCTGAAGGCCCTGCCTCCTAATACTACCTATTAACTTGGGGGTGAGGATTTCAACATTTTACATATATTTCTTCTAGTCCTGGGAACATGGTTAATGTCAGAGTCTACTTCAAAGACACAGATGCTGAAGTCTGCAGGAGATAAACTGTTTGCCCACGGTGACAAAGGAATTAAGTAGATGCAGCCCCAGGTCTTTCAAACTCTGACATCTATTCTTTCAAAGAGGCCTCGCTGCTTCCCAGTGAGTGCACTCAGGAGTCAACTTTCTCTGTCTTACACACCATCCCCTCAGCTCATCAGCTTTACACTCTTCCCAAACTGACTTCCTTGTGACCATTTTTTTACCTCTTCCCCAAAAGCAAGCCCAGCTCATGTCATAGGAGATGGCTTCACATCAGATAGTTCTCTTGCGTTGGTTATTTATGGAAGAACCAGATGGGAAAGCTTGGGAAACATTCTAATCTGAGAGTCTCTCATTTCCATCCTGTTTCTATTTCCTTTACTGCCCCCCACCTCCACCCCATGCACACAGAACATCGGCGCGTTCAGAGCAATGCTTTGTATTTTCAGTTGATATGTGCCTATCCTGGCGTCTGATCACACAGGCAGGCAGCTTTTGAAGTGCATGGAAACAGTGCTGGAACAGGCAAGAGTCCGGGACTGTGGTGAGTTCAAATGCTCTGTTCTGTGTCATGAGTGACTTATGAAGCCATTCACACTAAGGAAGTACAGGCAGTTAGGGACTGCATCCTCACAGCCAGGCAGGGGCAACCCCTCATTACAAAAAGTGATGTGCTGAAGAGCTCGGGATTTCAGTGACGATGGAGATGTAAGGTGTTCATTCTCCCCTCTAATGGCTCCAGGTTGTCCCTCCCTGAGATCACCTCCACATGGCTGTGAGTTTCCTGGAAACTGTATTCACAGAACTTGGTTAGATGAGCAGGAGCTGGCTTTGAGGGGCACAGTTCATGAATAGTCAAAGGAGATAGAGAGCCGGGCGTGGTGGCGCACACCTGTAATCCCCGCCCTGGGGAGGCTGAGGCAGGAGGAGCATTGCAAATTCGAGACCAGCCTGGGCTCCAAAGTGAGCTCAAGGGCAGCCTGAACTGCACAGTGAGACCCTGTCTCAAAAAGACAAAAAAAAAAAAAAAGAGAGATGATTGCCTCTCTCTGTCTGCCTCAGTAATGGCTGCAATTTTATCTAGCGCTGCCCCCAGCCAAGCACTTCCCATGTGCTATTCAATTTCGTTCTCAGCAGGCTGTCAGGATAAAGACATCCCAGAGAAGAGGCACAAGGTCACTGACAAGAGGCTAAGACATCTGAGCCCCCTTTGTCCCAACTCTAAGCCGGACTCTGCTGTTCCATCCTGAGCCTGTCCTCCGTCTCCCACCACCGGGAGTCCTCTGCTGCTTACCCCTGCTGATCCACCGAGTCTATGACTGCTGCTACATCAGTCTCCAAGACCTGGCTCGATCATGCCTATTCCCAGCGGTCATCCATGTCTCCAGGAAAAAGGTCAGCTTTACGGCCAGGACTTTGCCTGCACCTTCTCTACTATTTTCAACCTTTCTCCCACTGTTCCCTTCTCCTGTGTGATCTGCCTCAGGCAAGGCTGTCCTCAGACCCACCAAATAATCCTGACTCAGTCCTTTGCTGGAGCTCTCCGTCCTTTACTCTCCCTCTCTAACCAAATGTTTGGCCTTCTGCATCCTGTCCAAACCCCTCCACCTCTACAAGATCTTTGCCAGCCACTCTACCACTTCCTCATCTAGTACCTTCTGCCAGTAACATTCATTTTTATGCCAATCACATATTATTCCTTCTGGCGAATGTAAGAAAGACAGTGGAAAGACAAGACATTTTCTTTTCCTGCAACTCCAATTTAGTCTCGAAAGCCATCCAAATAATGTTGCAACTCTTTATCCCGTGAGTAAAACATTTGGCTCAATTAAAACTCAGACCAGAACCGTAGATTGGTATTTTTTATATCTACCAGACAACAAAATCCATGGAAACACTATCAACATATGACAAATTCACCCTTGTATCTGGCAAGTGAGATCTGACGTACCAACCTGCTCAGTGAAATAGTGCTTATTTATGTTTTCAATATTACAATTTTTCCTCATTAAAAAGAAGTTTGACATTTTAGTTTAAGTGGTGTTTAAGGGCTTGTGGATAAATATTTTTATTTGCAATCACAGATGCATCCCTAGAACAAGTATATTATTACACAAATGTTAACTAGAGCAAAAGCAAGTACAAAATAAGTGGTGTTGAGAAATTAAACAAAAAATTAAGCCAGTCTTCATATTACTGACTTTAAATTGATTAAAGTGAGATTTACCATTACTTTTTTCTGTGTTGTGTCTAGTTTTAAATGAATGAATATTTTATAATTTTAGATGAAAGCTCATTTCATTTATTCTGTAGTTTATATTTTAAAAGTTTATACAAATTATAAATAATTTCACCCCAAAATTATAAAATTCCATTGTTTGGGCAATCCTCACTCCTCTTTTGAAAGTAAGAATGAGAAATGTGCTATTTTTGGTGACCATGGCTGTTGAAAGTGGAACCACATTTAGGATATTTTCCAAATGAATAAGACAGGGAAAGTACTTGTTGATCAGCTAGATTTGCCATTTAACCTCCTCAGATATCTCCCTCTTTTGTATAGCAAGAAGTACATGTACCAGGTGTGATAAAAAATACAGTAAATGTATTTTTTGATGTAATTTTAAAAAAATTATCATAAAAGTACCACTGCCATTAATCTCCTTCAAAGTATTCCACTTTTGTGAAGCAGTGTTTAAAGAGAAGTGAAAAAAGGTTTTTCAGGCTTTAATAAAAATAACTACTAAACATATATTGAGTACCCATTTACCCTGGTGCCACTACCCTCAGATAATGGTTCTGCAGGAATGCTGTGAAGGTAAAATAGTAATCCTTAGCTCATCTTGGGAGTCTTGTTTTTTTGCTCTATTCCCTAATTCCTGCAGTGGGAGAATGATCTAGAAGTCAAGAACCAGCTACCTAGTTCAATAATAAATACAATGCCTGTCCTAAGAAAGGCATGTTGTGGTCCATTAAGCAAAAAGAAGGTAGCACTCTAGATTCTAACAAGCCCAGATAATAGTTGATATCCTCACTAGTCCAACAAGGATTCCTGACAATGTTTCAGGATTTCTGAGGTTCTTCTGTACTTTTTGTGTTTTGGTGTCCAGGATTATACCCAGGGCCTCATGCTAATGATGTGCTCTATCCCTGAGCTACCCCCACCCCAGCCTCTTGCTATGCTTGTTAGCTTCTTTCCAAAAAGGCTTAAGGAGGGTCACCCACTGAAGACAAGTGTAGGCTTTGATTTGGAGAAGAGTGAGTGAAAGGAAAGCATCCTCAGCCTTAATTGGATTGCGGTCCTGTTCTCACCTTTCACCAGCAGCACACATGTAAAAATCTAACTGCTGTGTGTAAAACATAAAAAGACCTGCCCTTACTCAGAGTGACTGAATAATTGCCACTCTGAATAATGTTAGGATTTCAGAGAAAAGTTAGAGTCCTGTTGTTGTTGAACATCCTTGTGTGCCAAGTAACATAAGTCCTGTATCTCAGAGTCTACAGAGGTGACCATGCACCCGTCAGTGTCCAGAAGCAGTGTGGAGCCTCAGGGGGTGCTGGCTCCATGGATAAGTCTGAGTGGAGACACAACAAGCAAATACCCTTAAAGCACAATGAGCTCAAAAGAGCCATGGGGTTCAGAAGGAGTATTCACATCAGACTGCACACATAATTCAGTTGCTGGTTTAAATCTTTGAGCTCGTTTCTCCTTAATAACAGCACAAGCACCATGTCCCCATGACACAGTGAGTTAAGCACATAGTAGGCATTCAATTAATATTTGAATATTGTTAAGTGATATATAGATGGGTAAGTTTTTGCTTTAATAAGCTATTAATCTAATGGGAAAGAGAGAAAAACATACCTTTACTGCAAGGCAGAATGTGATAAATATTGACCAAAGGGACAGGAAGTGAGAGACTAATTTTGATGGTGTTCGTGGGTGGTCTCAGGGAAGGAATGCCCTTCCAGGTGAGCATGGTAGGGCAGCATTCAGTCCTCCTGAGGACACTGGAAAAAAGACAGAGAAATGGAAAATTATATGGTAAGTTTAGGGGATGACATGATTCTAAGAGGTGGAAAGTGTTCAGAACGTGTAGGACTTACAATGGGAACTAAAGTTGGAGGGGTTCTTTTCAGATCATGGAGGGCCTTGAAAATCAATTTAAGGGGATCTGTTGAAGGTCTCTAGGAAGTGGTGTAGTTTGGATCTGAAATGTTCCTTAAAGGCCCATGTGTCAAAATCTTGATTCCCAGCCTGTGACATTATTCAGAAGCAGTGGAACCCTTAGGGGGCAAGCTTACTTGAAGGAATTATGTCATTGGGGGGTGAGACCTGTTCTTTCTGCTCTCTTTTGTCTTCGCTTCCATGAGAACAGCTTTGCTCCACCATGTACTTCCCAATATAATGTACTGCCTCATCACAAGCTCAAAAGCAACAGACTGGACCCTTCTAAACCATGAGCCAAAATAAACCTTTTTTCACTATAAGTTGATTTAATGCAGGTTTGTTACAGTAACAAAATGCTGACAGACCTAGGTGGTGATGTTAAGTCTACCAAAGGTGGTCATTAGTATATGCAGTTCTGTCCTGCAGGCCAACAAACTTTTCTTGAGTCTCTGGAAAAAGTTGCTTCCCTCTACTATGCCAGACAAGAACAGGAGGACTCCAGAGGACTACAAACTTACCTTGAGCTAGGCATGTCACAGACAGCATTTCAGCAGTTCCTACAGGACACACTAGTGCCCTGTGTCAGAGACACTGACAGAGACTCTGAGGCTAACTGACCAAGCACTGGCCCTAGTAAGAGGAAGGCAGAGATTTGAGTCCAGGTTGGCCTCATTTCCAGGTTGTTCTCTGCCACACTCAAGCTGTGGCCCTTTAGGACACCAATTGACATGCTGCCCATGAAATACACTCTATCCTTTTATGCTGGTTAAAAAATGAAGTTGATATGGAGCTTTGAGCCATGCAAGGACAAAGTCATATTGAGCAGCAGGTGCAGACAGAGATGGGCATGTGGATCTCATTCATCTGTGTCTTGCAGATCAAATAGTCTTGACAGCCTTGATAGGACATGGACAGGCTGTGAGCATATGTGTTTATCACACATGTTACCTGTCTTTCAGAAGGAAATCTTGCCTTATTTGTCTTAAAAGGCCATGTCAAATAAGAGTAAGGGGTAGGGGGCAGAAAGCAACACTTAAAAGTACAGTTATTTGAAAATAGGATTCTTTTCACTAAGTTTGTACAGCTTTTAAATGGCAGAAAATAGCTGTTTATTCTGTGCAAGAGCAGGCCATCTTCTTCAGTTTAGCATCACCTATCTTTCCTTGGAATCAGGAGGGCCTTATAAATGGAAGAGAAAATGGTTCTTCTATGAGATACAACTTCAAAGATACAAGGAAGGAAGACCTCTTTAGCCTCAAAGATATGTCCATCAAGGTGCCATAGAACTACAAGTTCTGTCCTTCCACAGCCATTTCTCTGGGTTAAGCACTGGTTTTGAAGTGGGGGTAGTTTCTCCTACAAAACACAAATTCTTCAGTGTTAGAGTTTGGCTCTGGAATGTCTGCCAAAGGCCCCTGTGTTACAGGCTTGACGTCCAGCCCATAGTGTTATTGGCAAGTGGTGAAAACTTTAAGGGGTGGAGACTGGTGAGAGGTGTTCAGGTCAGTGGGCTGTGCCCTTGAAAGGAATAATGGGGCCCTGTCCCACCCTCTTTATCTCTTTCACTTCCTGGCCATGAGATGAGTGGTTTGGCCATCCTCACGTTCCTGCCATGATGTGTGGCCATAGGCCGCAAAGCAATCATTGAGTGGATCCTCCAAAACTGTAGGCCAAAATAATGCTTTTCTCTTTGTAAACTGATTATCTCAGTTATTTGTTACAGATACAGAAAGCTCCCCAGTATAGTCTTGGAGGAGAAAATCAACAACACTCTTGAGATCTCAGTGAATTGGGTCCCTTAGGTTGCTTACAGGTAGACAGATTGTCTGGGCCCAGCAGCCCCTGAGATTGGGGAGGGGGTGCAGGAGAAGAGAATGGACTGCAGCAGGCCAGAAACAAGCCTCCGCAGCTCCTGGCATTGTAGGAGAACTCAACCAAAGTCAAGAAGGCGGGCCACTAAAAAGTCCTACAGTGGCTCAGAGTTCTTGGGTTATTTACAGTAGTAGTTAGGGAAATTTCCTGTAGTCCTTTTCAACATGGGAAATACAATAAATGATGTTAAAACGTATTAAGAAAACTAGTTTCACTCTTTCCAAATCATCACCATGACACATATTTGCATCTAAAACAAACATCCTAATATGTGTGGATGTGTGTGCTTTTTGTTTGCCTTTCATTTTGCAATAGGGAAAAATCCAGTGAATACTCTTTTAAAAAAATCCAGCCAAGCAGAAAATTGGGAAGAGCAGCTGCTGAGGAGAATGTGTGCATGGGGTATAAATGAGTCCTCTTCATGCCAGATACTCTGTCCTCTGGGTCGGAGACCCATGGGAGGGGCTGGCAGTGATGATGTTTGAGGAAGAGAGCAATGATGTTTGAGGGGAGAGCAGGGAGCATGTTTGTTTTAAAAGCCACTCCTGACATGTTTTGCATTTTTTATTTCTAATATCTCTTGGTTACTTTCCTCTTTGCTGGGACAAAATACCTGATGCCTAAAGTTAAAGAAGGAAAGGTTTATTTTACACACAGTTTGTAAGGTTTCAGTTCCTAATCAGCTGGCTCCAAAGCAGCATGGCTTGGCAGAGGGGCAATAGTTCGTGGCAGCTGAAACAAAAGCAGTAAGAGCAAAAGAGGAGCAGCAAGCCTCTTTTCCTCCTCTATGTTGTATGCAGGCTACCTGCCCTAGAGCAGATGTAGCACTCACACCCCCAACTTTATCACTAAACAATGAACCAATCACAGATTCTAGATTCAGCTGCATCCAAAAAGCACCCCCATTATTGCATGGGATTTGGGGGGGACATCCAGACACAAATCATAATACAGTATGAGTCATGGGCACAGGAGGATGGCTATGAGTTCAAGGCCAGCCTGGGCTACATAAGCAAGATCAAGGCCAGCCTGAACAGCATAATGAGACCCTATCTCGGGGGGAAAAGAAAGAGCTATTTCTAATGAGTGAGGTATTGGTAGTGGCAGGCCTGGGCTTTGCGGAGGGAATTCCCTGCCTCAGCCATTTCAGATGGGTGAATTTAGACAAGTCCCTTGGGCTTTTTGACCCTTTCCATCTCATCTATAAAATGATGATCACAATAATGTCTGCTTTGCATTGAATTGAACTGAAGCAAGAACCATTTATAGAATGGATATTGCTATGTACAAGTGAGCTATTTTTCTCAATATATGACTTTAATCAAAGTTACAAAACATCTCTGGCAAACATGTCTTCTTGGGTGATTCTGACTAACCAGATTTTAAAGGATAAATAGAAATTAGGCAGTGAAAGAGGTGGTGAGAGAGCACTGGTTTTTTCTGCAGGCAAAAACATGCAAAGAAACCACGAGGTCTGTAGTTTGCAGGGCAGGTTGAGGCCTGCAGACTCCAGGGAAAGAAGAATGGGCAGAGATGAGCCCCAGGTAGTTTGGCTCAGTGGAATGAAACAAGAGACTTGCTGCTTCTTCTGAGGGAGGCAGTGGCAAGAGCTGGATACCAAAAGGTATTATATACTTTATTAGACAGTGTTGCAGTCAGGGTTTGCAAAGGAAATAATTTAATACAGGGCACATAATTTATAGGATTATTTTATAGTATTTTAAGAGTATAGTATTTTAAGAGTCAAATACAAAAGAGTATAGGAAATCTGTCCACACACTAAAGACCCAAATAATCCAGCTGATGGCCTGGATCCCACAGGAATGTCCTGTATGAGTCCAGCTGAAGACCTAGAGCCCATGGTAATGCCCCCCCATGAGTCCCACTGGAGCCAAGAGCCCAAGATAATGTGTCATGCAGGCCCGATTCAAGGATCTGCACTGGGAAGGCCTAAAGGTCAGCAGTGGAAGCTAGAAAGTCTGTTCCAGAGAGATGAAGAATCTGTGCCAGCAGGCTGAGGGATCCACACTGGAGCCAGGAAATGATGCTCAAAGTAGGGACCAGAGCTCCCCTGAAAAGTACCACAGCCATCCTCAGTGATGACAAAGTGCTGAGATCCTCTGATGATAAGAACTGCTAAGTTCATATCAGGAAAGCCAGCATGACAAGCTTCTCCAGGAGACTGAACAGTGCACCATCTTCCTCTCTGGGGCCAGGAAGTGATGCTCAAAATAAGGACCAGAGCTCCTCCAAAGTAAACCATAGCCATTCTCAGTGACAACAAGGTACCAAGCTCCTCCAACAATGAGAACAGTGGAGTTCATATCAGGAAAGCCAGCATGACAAGCTCCTCTAGGAAAACCAATAACACCTCTTCTTCCTCTCTAGTTCTCTTTGTTGTGCTGCTGGCAATAATCCTCAGGTGGGTCCTCAGCACTCATCACTGTGCTGATTCAGTTCAGCTGGGTTTTACACGTTGCCCACCAGTTGTCTATTCGCCACAAGGAGATGGGATTTTTGTACCCTAGAACAATGTTTTACCTACTGTCTTCAGTGAAATTTTAATAAATATATTTTTAAAAGTTTCTTTGATCAAGTGAGTTCTGGAAATGATGAGTTATACAGTTGAGTCTGTTTCTTCACTCAGACCCATACATATGTGTTGGGATCGAGTCCAAGGCTTACATATGTCCAGCAAGCACTTTACCGCTGCCCTCCATTCCTCAGTCTTAGCCCAAGAGGTTTAAGTATCAGACATGATCAAAATAGAGGGTGAGGGGCTGGGGATTTAGCTCAGTGGCAAAAGCGCCTGCCTGGCAAGCGCAAGGTTGTGAGTTCGGTTCCCGGTACCGGAGAAAAACCAAAAAACAAAACAAAACAAAACAAAAAAGCAACAAAATAGAAGGTGAATTTAAAATTAGAAATGTATTGCAGTTAAGGACACATTGCCAGTAAACCCTCTCAGAAT